GCAAAAACTCATCTCTCAAAAAATAAAAATTATAAGTATAGTCTCCAGTTAGAGAGGGGCCACTTTCTCTCAACTAATGTTCCCTTTCATTCTCCATCCCTTCGCTCTTCTTTATTTTTCTACTTTGTACTTATCATCTGGTATGTTTACATTTATTGTTTTCTACGTCCAACTATTATATAAGCCAAAGCCAAGACTTTTTTGTCTCTTTTGTTCAGGGCTCAATCCCCAGAGCCCAGTAGCTATGCTAGCAAATGTCATAGTAGGCTTAGTAAATGTTTGTTGGCTAGTGGCTGGTCCAAAAAAGTGTGGCCTGTCCTTGCCATACTTAGGTATCAGTGGAAGTGTTCCCAAGGTCTGTAACTTCTCTACTTGGGGAATTTGAATTTATTAGCTGCTAGTTAATAGCAATGTTGTAGAAACAATGCAAGCCTGAGATGGTGGTAGTGCTAGATGACTTTTTTTTTTTTTTTTTTTTTTTTTGAGACGGAGTTTCACTCTTGTTGCCCAGGCTGGAGTACAGTGGTGCAATCTTGGCTCACTGCAACCTCCACCTCCTATGTTCAAGCTATTCTGCTGTCTCAGCCTCCCAAGTAGCTGGAATTACAGGCACCCAGCACCATACCCAGCTAATTTTTTGTATTTTTAGTAGAGATGGGGTTTCACCATGTTGGCCAGGCTAGTCCCGAACTCCTAACCTCAAGTGATCCACCTGTCTCAGCCTCTCAGAGTGTTGGGATTACAGGTGTGAGCCACCTTGCCCGGCCGCCAGACGACTTTTAAGATTTCTTTCGGCTGGGCATGGTGGCTCATGCCTGTAATCCAGGCACCTTGGAGGCCAAGGCAGGCAGATCACCTGAGGTCGGGAGTTCAAGACCAGCCTGACCAATATGGTGAAACCCCATCTTAAAAAAAAAAAAAAAGATTTCTTTCTGTCCTCAGGGTCCATAATTCTGAATTATCAGCTGGTATAGCGTAGGCTATTTGTAGTAGAAAATCAGAAAAGAAAATATACTGAAGATACACTAGTCAGGAAAGACTATGAAGAAGGTAGAATGGGGCAGATCTCTGCAAGATGGCTAAGGGGCAGACGTGCAAAGAGAATATTTTTCATACCAATCATATTTTCAGACAGAAACCTTATTTTGTTCAGAATGAACTTTGGGGTATATAATGGTAGCACCTCTGGTGAATTACACATTTTCTTTTATTATAGAAATGTGAGTATACCTGACATTTCCCAAGATGTTTGTTACTTTTCCCTGGAAAGCAACTATAGGAATTAAATACAGTGCCAATTTACTAATCCAAATTGTTGTGAAAGTCATTTGGGTTCTGATTTGGGCATGAGATAACAGGCCATTATTTTCCCAGTGTTCCTAACTTACCAGCGTGGAGCATTCAAGTCCATAGTAGAACAGTAAGGACACCATGTATTCCAATAGGTTAAAGGTCAGAGGTGGTTGAATTCCAGGTCTGTGTATACCATAAACTAAATACCTAACTTAGCACCTTCTAAGGAAAGGCAATTAGTAGATGACTTAACAGATGCATTTTTAATGAGGAATCCAGGCTATTTGTAGCACATTTGCTAGTTTTTCTTGTATTGTAAACAACCAGAAACTTAGGAATTCTGCCACACTTTTCATTTCCCAGTCATCTGTGTTGGTTGGTAGGATAGTCTGAGGATTGTGATTTTTAAGTCTATTCTTTTGCCCTTTTAAATTGTTCATTTTTACTTTTTTTTTTTTTTTTTTCAGTTGGAGTTTCACTCTTGTCACCTAGGCTGGAGTGCAGTGGCATGATCTCGGCTCACTGTAACCTTCGCCTCCAGGTTCCAGCAATTCTCCTGCTTCAGCCTCCCAAGTAGCTGGGATTACAGGCAGCCACTACCATGCCCAGCTAATTTTTGTATTTTTAATAGAGATGGGGTTTCACCATGTTGGTCAGAGTGGTCTCAAACTCCTAACCTCAAGTGATCCACCTGTCTCAGCCTCTCAGAGTGTTGGGATTACAGGTGTGAGCCAATGAGTCATGTGCCTGGCCCCTTAAATTGTTTTAATAAAAGACCTTGACCATACATGGTGCCTCATGCTTCCTAGTCTCGACACTTTGGGAAGCTGAAGCTAGGGGTCAGTTAACTTCAAGACCAGCCTGGGGCAACAGAGCAAGACCCTGTATCTACAAAGAATAAAGAAATGAATAAATAAATTAGCTGGATGCCACTGCCTGTAGTCCCAGTTTCTTAAGAGTCTGGTGTGGGAGGATCACTTGAGCCCAGTAATTGAGGTTATGGTGAGCTATGGTCATACCATTGCACTCCAGCCTGGGTGACAGAGCAGGACCCTGTCATTCATTCAGCCTTGTCCTTTTTTTACCTGTGACCTTTATAACTGTGAGTTTATTCTACTTCTAAGATTATATTCCTTGTTCAGTAAGACCTATGGGTAATACAGTAGAAACCTCCTAACTAGTATTAACAGTTGGTCGGTTGTGGCCAGGCATGGTGGCTCATACCTGTAATCCCAGCACTTTAGGAGGCTGAGGTGGGGGGATCACTTGAGGTCAGGAGTTCAAGACCAGGCTGGCCAATGTGGTAAAACCCTGTCTCTACTAAAAATACAAAAATTAGCCAGATGTGGTGGCGTGCATCTGTTATCCCAGCTACTCAGGAGGCTGAGGCAAGAAAATTGCTTGAACCCAGGAGCTGGAGGTTGCAGTGACTCTAGATTGTGCCACTGTACTCCAGCCTGGGAGAAAAAGTGAGACTCCATCTCAGAAAGAAACAAAAAAACCCACAATTGGTTGGTTTCATTAAAATGAAAAATAATTCTAGTATTAAATTTTAATACAAAACATCTAAGTGTATATTCCTTTGATGCAGAGAAGTGTGATTATGAATACACCAACTTGCGGTCTGGGTCAACTTACTTCCATAATCTATATCAAAATGCATTGTCTTCTGTTTCTGGTTTTCTTTTCTTTTTAAATTTTTTTTAAATTAAAATATAGAGATGGGGTTTTGCCATGTTGCCCAGCCTCTCTTAAACTCCTGGGCTCAAACTATCTTCTCACCTCGGCCTCCCAAAGTGCTGGGATTATAGGCGTGAGCCACCATACCCACTTGGTTTTATTTTAAGTTAGCGCCACAATGTGGGTATTTGAAAAATGACTTGAGTAGATAATCCTCAGTTTTATTTGCCTGACCTATGGACATAGTTTTTTAGGAGCTCACTTTTAGTGTGTCTTTCTAAAGCATAACTCCTTTTGTGTTTTTGCATTTGCATTTGGTCAGTTAACATAATTTTTAATTATATTATGTGAAAACAACAAGAACAGCTGTCATAAGCAGTATAGGAACACAGCTGACTTTCAGCAAACATGCAATTACATGGCTGGGAGCACAGGTAAGCTCAGGGTAGCTTGTGGCCTCCAGTGTTCAGTGTGCTGTGGGCTCCACCCCAGATGTTTTTCAGAGGAGATGCATGGTAATATGGTGAATCACTTAAGTGAGGGCTCCTTCAGAGAGCTGCTGTTGTGTTCATAATCAAAATACTTTACCTCTGTTAATTAGGCTTTGTTGGATCGATAGCTAAAAGATTGAAAGAACCAAAACAAATTTCTAGGTTTCTGTCATTGTCACTTAAGAGAGAACATGTTGGCTGGGCATGGTGACTCATGACAGTAATCTCGGCACTTTGCGGGGCCAAGGCGTGAGCATCACTTGAGGCCAGAAGTTCAGGACCAGCCTAGGCAGCACAGTGAGACCCCCATCTCTACAAAAAAAAAACTTAAAAATCTAAAAAAGGAAAAAAAATCATTTCAAATTAGACAGGTGCAGTGGTGCATCCATGTAGTCCGTCCCAGCTGCTTGGGAGGCTTAGGCAGGAGGATCACTTGAGCTTAGGATTTTGAGGCTGTCACGGCTTGTGCCATTGCATTCCAACCTAGGTGACAGAGTGAGACCCTGTCTCTAAAAATAAAAATTAAAAAGAGAACATACTGAGAGTTACAAGTCAGTATCCACCTTTGTCCATTTAAGTTGTATCTTACCTCTCTTAATCTCTGCCACAGCTGAAAGATGTATATTATCTTAATGATTATCTTTAAATCTTTAGATATATAGGATCTTAATGATATGCTAGATTCTAGATCTAGAATGCATAGAGAAAGAAAAATCCTAGGGTAAAATAATAGATTATATTAGGAATATGTCAAATGTAATAGAAGTACTCTCATTGAGTGTTGTTGTTTGTATTTTTCTAGGCAATCGATAGCATTCATCAAGTGGGGGTTTATTGTCTTGCTCTGGTGCCGGCCAATACATTGCCAAAAACTCCGCTAGGAGGAATCCATATATCTCAGACGAAACAACTCTTTCTGGAGGGATCGCTGCATCCTTGCAATATCCTCATGTGCCCACATACATGCGTGACAAATTTGCCAAAGCCCCGGCAAAAGCAACCAGGTAACATGCTGCCTTCCAAGACCTACCACTAAAATTCCAACTTCAAGAAGCGGGTTCTCTCAGTATGATTCTTTCTCTAGAATTAGTTTATAAACGCTTTGGGAGGCTAAGGTGGGAGGATTGCTTGAGCCCAGGAATCTGAGACCAGCCTGGGTAACATGGTAAAATCCTGTCTCTATTTAAAAAAATACAAAACATTAAGCCAGGCCTGGTGGTGCATACCTGTAGTCCCAGCTACTCCAGAGCTGATAGAGGATGGCTTGAGCTGGGAGGTTGCGGTGAACCAAGATTGTACTATCGCACTCCAGTCTGGGTGACAGAATCAGACCCTGTCTCAACAAAAAAGAAACGAGCAGAAAGGGAAGATGGAAAAGGTTTGTTAAGGTAGCCGGGAGGCGAAGATACCCTTGAGATGCCTTTGGAGCTACTGGGGAAAGAAAGAATGTGTTTGTTAGGACTAGTCTTGGCTGCAAGTTGCAGAAAAACATAGTAGCAGCTCAGGCAAGAAGCAAGCTTATTTTTTTTTATTCAGTCTCCGTAGAGACTATCAAAAGTTGCCAATGCCGACTATATTTCAAGTCATCATGGCAGGGTATTGGGAAAAGTTTTCAATTAGCAATAATCGTGCCTCAGATGAACCTCATTGGCTGTGATACTGCCACTGTGCAAAGCTGCAAGCTTATTTTTTTGTCAGGTAAAAGAAGTTCAGAGCTAGGTAATCCAAAGGCTAGGATAGTCACTCCTCAGTCATGTTCTTCCAGCTTCCCATCTTTCTGCTTTGGTGTTTTGTCAGTCAACTATTGTAGATATGCTACAGAACAACCAACCCTAAAACTCAGTGCCTTGAAGGAGCAAGCATTTGCTTTTTACTCATGGAATGTGCATCTGTTTGGCTCGGCTGGTATCCTGTGGACTGGACTTGGCTCCAGGCTTATGTTAGGTTCAGAGCTGTTCCATGTGTCTCCTCATCATGGGACCAGCAGCTACCTGGGCCATATTTTTTTCAAGGCAGATGGCAGAAGCAAGAAAGCAAGCCAAACCACATGAGCGTATTTAATTTGATTTTTTTTTTTTTTTTTTTTTTTTTTTTTTTTTTTTTTGAGACAGAGTTTCGCTCTTGTTACCCAGGCTGGAGTGCAATGGGGCGATCTCGGCTCACCGCAAGCTCTGCCTCCTGGGTTCAGGCAATTCTCCTGCCTCAGCCTCCTGAGTAGCTGGGATTACAGGCAGGAGCCACCATGCCCAGCTAATTTTTTGTATTTTTAGTAGAGACGGGGTTTCACCATGTTGACCAGGATGGTCTCGATCTCTCGACCTCGTGATCCACCCGCCTCGGCCTCCCAAAGTGCTGGGATTACAGGCTTGAGCCACCGCGCCCGGCCACATGAGCGTATTTAAAACTTCCATTTGTGTCACATGTCCTAACATTTCATGGTCCAAAACAAGTCAGACCTTGAAGTATACTTCTCCCATCCAGCCATAACTAGGACAAGAAGGAAAGGAAGGATGTGGGAAAATAAAATAATCTGCCAGAGCCATCCTTAGCAACTGCCCTGGGGCTCATTAGGCTCCCCAGCCTCGACATCCAAGCCAGCAGGTAGGAGGAAAACATAAAGAAAGAATACTCTTTCCTTCAACATGTTTTCTAGAAATGGCATATATTACTCCCTCTTAGATGTTATTCTCCCACAGTAAAGAATATAGTCTTTATTCCAGGCATGTGTCCAGCTAAAAACTGGGGTTTCTGCGCCGGGCGCGGTGGCTCAAGCCTGTAATCCCAGCACTTTGGGAGGCCGAGGCGGGTGGATCACAAGGTCGAGAGATCGAGACCAACCTGGTCAACATGGTGAAACCCCGTCTCTACTAAAAATACAAAAAATATCAGCTGGGTATGGTGGCGTGTGCCTGTAATCCCAGCTACTCAGGAGGCTGAGGCAGGAGAATTGCCTGAACCCAGGAGGCGGAGGTTGCGGTGAGCCGAGATCGCGCCATTGCACTCCAGCCTGGGTAACAAGAGTGAAACTCCGTCTCAAAAAAAAACAAAAACAAAACAAAACTGGGGTTTCTGTTATTAAGGAAGAAGAATAGAATAGATACTAGAATTGATAACTAGCAGTTTTTGTCATAAGACGTTTACAGAATTCTATGGGAAAATCAGAAGGCATATTTACAGGTACAGCAGTGGCTGCAATTAGCTTCCTGGAGTTACTGCTTTTAGTTTCTTTCATTCTCTGTAATCCATAGACTCAAAACGCACACAGAAGAACCTGAAAGAACTGCTGCTGAATTCGTTTTATTGTTTTAAACCACTGCAAAATTCACTTTTTAAAATACCACGTCTTTATTTTATAATGTGAATCTCGGATTGCACAGTTTACATAATCAAATACACTCTGAGTTCCTGCCTGTATAAAAGGCTGTCTCCAACACGATATAGCTATAATTTATCATGAAGTTTCTTAGGGTGGAATAGTGCATATTTACTTAAAATTGTAGTAGATACTTCGTAGACTAAAACTTTACCTTTTCTGAGTTTTTTTTTTTTTTTTTTTTTTTTTTTTTTTTGAGATGGAATCTTGCTCTGTCACCCAGGCTGTAGTGCAGTGGCATGATCCTGGCTCATGGCATCCTCCGCTGCCCGGTTCAAGCGATTCCCCTGCCTCAGCCTCCTGAGTAGCTGGGACTACAGGTGTGCACCACCATGCCCAGCTAGTTTTTTTGTATTTTAGTAGAGATGGAGTTTCACCATATTGGCCAGGACGGTCTTGATCTCCTAACCTCGTGATCCGCCCACCTTGGCCTCCTAAAGTGCTGGGATTATAGGTGTGAGCCACCGCACCCAGCATATTTTTAAATTTTTTAAACTTTCCATTTTGAAATAATTTCACACAAAATAGTTGCCACATGGTACAAAGATTTTTCTTATATCCTTTACCCAGCTTCCCCAAATATTTACTCTTTGAAAATTGATTATATAAGTGATTTTGTTTCATTTGTTTCAGTATATTCAGGATCAACAGATTTTGATATAACAAAAGATTTTTAATATCAATTCAGTATAGCGTCAGCATTATTTAAAAGCTAGCTGGCAGTAAACTTTGTTTTATCATCTTTTTGCCATCTTCTTAGTCCATAAGGCAGATGACCATCAAGAGAGGGACACAGCACCCTAGCAGGTTTTTCTAGAGAGGGAGTGGGCTCCCCTGTTTATTTTGAAGTGTTGAACCTATGAAAAAATTAGAAGAATAGTACAGTGAGGAGCACCCATGTAGCCCACCCTACATTTACCAATTGCTGCCTTTTTTTTTTTTTTTTTTTTTTTTTTTTTGAGATAGTCTTGCTCTCTTGCCCAAGCTGTAGTGCTGTGGCAGGATATGGCTCACTGCAACCTCTGCCACCCAGGATCCAGCCACCGAGTACCTGGTATTACAGGCTTGAGCTTCCATGCTGAGCTAATTTTTGTATATATATATATATATATATTTTTTTTTTTTTTTTTGAGACAGAGTTTTGCTCTTGTTACCCAGGCTGGAGTGCAATGGCGCAATCTAGGCTCACCGCAACCTCCGCCTCCTGAGTTCAGGCAATTCTCCTGCCTCAGCCTCCTGAGTAGCTGGGATTACAGGCATGCACCACCATGCCCAGCTAATTTTTTGTATTTTTAGTAGAGACGGGGTTTCACCATGTTGACCAGGATGGTCTCGATCTCTTGACCTCGTGATCCACCCACCTCGGCCTCCCAAAGTGCTGGGATTACAGGCTTGAGCCACCGCGCCCAGCCAATTTTTGTATTTTTAGTAGAGTTGAGGTTTTGCCATACTGGGCAGGCTGGTCTCAAACTCCTGGCCTCAAATGATCTACCCATCTCTGCCTCCCAAATTCGTAGGATTATAGATAGGAGCAAGGCACCACGCCTGGCCTTGCTGACATTTTTTCCCTGAGCCTTTTTTTGTGGTTTTGTTTTTGTTTTTGTTTGGAGACAGGGTCTTAACACTGTTGTCCAGGGTGGAGTGCAGTGGCACGATGTCATCTCACTGCTGCTTTGAACTCTGAACTCTGGCAGAAGTGGTCCTCCTACCTCAGCCTCCTGAGTAGCCTGGACTAAAGGTGTGTGCCACCACACCAGGCTAATTTTTTTTATGTATTTGTAAAGACAGGGTTTTGACATGTTTCCCAGGCTGGTCTTGAACTTCTCGGCTCAAGTGATCTGCCTACCTCAGCCTCCCAAAGTGCTGTGATTACAGGCATGAGCCACCATGGCCAGCCATTATTCACTTTTAATTGAACAAATTTAATATTTTGGATAAACTCCCTTAGGCCCTGTAGACGACATATTTCTTTCCAGGACCAGATATTCTTTATTGACCCTCTTTTAGGGTTCTATTATGATTAGAGAAGATTAAATTATTGGTAGGAACCTGTGCAACCAGCTGTCACCTCCTCAGAGTGAAAACTTCTTGTATATCCCAAACTACAATAGCTGCCTGCTCCTCTCCACCCAAGTCCCTATTCCTCCTGTATTCCTGGGTTTTTTTTCCCCATTACTTCACACTACTTGTGTTTATTTATTTGTGTATGTGTTTTTTTGGTTACTCTTCTCCAAAATGCAAGCTCCTTGCCCTATTTGCTCTTGGGTTCCCAGTGCCTAGAAGAGTGCTCAGTCAGTATTGTTGGATGAACATTTGATCCCGTTTTGGTCAGTCTGGAAACGCTCTGGATACTTAGTTGGAATTGCCATCTCCAGGGAGTTGGGTTTTGTGTTTATTTATAGGTGTAGGCCCTGCTTCCGTGATGGTTGGGAATCTGGTTGCTGGAAAACGCATAGCACAAGCTGCTGGAAGGGATCTGGGACAAATAGAAGAAAATGATTTGGTGAGGAGGGTAAGTGTTCCTGAAGTGTTGCCAAGGACAGAATTTGCACTGAATTCTGGACAGAATTTTCATTGCAGGTAGTAGCTGGGGGATGCATTATATTACTTGCTATAAGTTGCTGATCCTGAGTCCTTTTTCTGCTTTATGAATTCAGCACCAGTTTCTGGCAGAGATCTTACAGTGGCGAGCCCAGGCGACTCCTGACCATGTACTCTTCATGCTGTTAAATGCCAAGGTATTAAAAATGCAATGGTATATCTAATCGGTGACTACCATAGAAGTATCTTAGAGGCTCTTGATCTCTTTCATCAGAAAGTTTCTGTTGCCACCTCTGAGGAAGGAGTTACAGCTTTCTCCTTGCTTTGACATATGAGGATAAACTGTGCAATCACTTTAAGGTTGGAATGAGACCTCCTGGAGTGCTATATAATACTTTCTTTTCTTATGGTACAGTCACATCTTTATTTAATTCTGATAGGAAAAATGGAGCCAACAATGCAATTACATAGATACATAGATGTTCAGAATGCATTATGTCATACAGTTTTTTTACTCAATTGGACTTTTAATTCTTGGATTTCTGCTAGGAAGAAAATGACCTTAGACCAGCATTTTAAAAACCTGTTATTTCTGGTACTTAATTCATAATTAAATGATTTATTGCTAACAGATAAAAAGAGTATATTTAACTACTGGCTTCCCATGGATGGTTCATTATAATATTGTATTTTAGGACTGGGCATGGTGGCTCACACCTGTAATCCTAATACTTTGGGTGGCTGAGGCGGTGGATCACTTGAG